TTTTGTTAATAATTAGCTGCACTCTTTAATGGAACAATGGTAGATTATTATTGCTTCTTTTCAAAGAACCCATTAACAAGGTTATAATGCACTGCACGGGAAGTCAGGTAAATTAAACTTAAATTGCTGGAAATTAAGTTTCAGGCGGTTATGCGCGGGGAGAGCGGGTATTTTTTTTACACCTTCAGGGGTCATTGTTTTAAATACTCGAACCTTGGAGCTCTACAGGGTTCTGTCGGTTGTGGGTTGTTTTTTTTTTTTTTTTCCGATGTGATTCTGGGTGTGCATGAGCATTACAGGGGAGGCTTCTCTGCTGCCAATGGTTTTTCTATGTCTGGCTCCAGGAACAAGGGGGTTTTTCAAGTGTTTTCGTGGTGTTGGCTTGACTTTATGGCTGCAATAAGTCCCTGGGTAGGGAAACCCCCGCTGTGTTCTCACTTCAGAAGGATCGGGAATTCCAGCTCCACATGAAAAAAAGAGAGTTTCATTTTTTATTGGAACCAACTGCACTGAACTTTCTACCAAGTTCTTAGCGGGTTTAGCTTTCACACAAGCAATGCTCTGTTCTGTTTGCATTTCGAAATATTTGGGTGTTGTTTTAATCCCCCTCATCTATCTGCCTGCCTCTGCTTGGGGCGGGGGGGGTTGGCTTTTGCTGGCCAGAAAAGCAAAGCGACAAAAAGTGAGACCTTCCTGGGCAGAGAGCTGAGGTTGTACATACTGTAAATACTTCTGTTTATCTTTATTTATGCCCTGCCAGCTGAGTGATGTCTGTCAGGAGGGGAAAGCCGGCTTCCCAGAGCAGTTAAATCTGTTCTACCACCTTCTGGCGTCTCTCGCAACTTCCTCGCTTTATTGCTCCTTCTTATCAAACCCTGAGCCTGGCTTTAAGGAGATGAGGCCAAAGAGTGAATAAAAATGTGCCCATCGGTGCCCTCAAAGCCGGGTCTGACTTAAGGGCTACTGTATAAGCTCGGTTCTGCGACCGTCATTGCTGTGTCTGCGTCCCTCCCGGCTGGGCTGGCGCTAGAGGCGGCCAAAGAAAATATATGCGCAAAATCGGTCTCAGATTTACCTTCGGACCTTAGCGGGGAAGGCAGGAGAGCGTCTGTTAAACAGCTACACTAATAACCCAACACTTTAATTTTTTTTGTGTGTGGTTTTTTTTTGGTAAAGCTGTTGAACTGGGAATGGAAACCACCTCTGTGTTAAACATGCAGTTCTCTGAGATTTAGTGCGGTTTAAGACCTCTGCTCGGATTTACATGTATTATAGGTGGCAAATCAATTAGACCGCGGGCCTGACCCTTCGGAAGACAGAAATTATGGCAGGCGTTGGGTTTGTTGGTTTCGTTTTTTTTTTGTTTTTTTTTTTTCCCCCACGTTGGGAAGCAAGTTTTCTTCTTTTATTTTCCTCCCTCAAATAACCATCTATGGGGTTATCCTTCTTCTAAGAAGCAAGACATATTATTTATTTATCTATAGAGCGTCTAAGATGTCAGTAATAAGCAATTAGCAAGCGATCAGCTTCAATTAGTGCATTTTTATTTTCTTTTAAAATTTCAGCTATCAAACTACGTAAAAAGCCTGTTTTAGCCACAAAAAGCCAGGACAAGCAACATTTTACTACTTGGGGGAGGGAGGGATTTTTTTTCCCAAACTATTTCGAGGGATTTATTTGCGGAGCAATTATGAGAAGTGAGAGAAAATATCAGAGCAAACATTTTCAGCAGATGTACTCACGCATTTGAATTATCAGGAAGGACATCCCATGTCTTAGCCCAAAATTTGCATTCGGAGCTGATCATGCCAGATAACCGCTGGTTTTGCAGAGCTACAATATTGCGTAACTCTCTAATCAGAGGTATGAGCTGTTCGGCTCCTGCAAAGCAGTTAACTTCAGGCTCTCATCGAGCCTTTTTTTTTTTTTTTCTTCTCTAGTCATCGTTCCCTTTCAATCTCTTTTTTTTTTTTTTTTTTTCCTTGCATACCAATAAAGCAGATCTACGTAAGTTTGGGTCCATTCCATACACAAAGGGAAACTCTGCAAGAACAAATATAAGAGATATCAGTCAGAGAGGGGGGTGGAGGATGGAAAACTACTTCCTTTGCATGTTATTTCCTTGAATTATAAGGATTACGTTTCAGTCGAAATGTTCATTGCAGCCGTGGCATGAAACAATCTTGGCTTTCCTGCTGTAAACATGATGTTTAAAATAAATTAGCTCGTAATCAGATACCAGTTTCGTAGAGACTCCAAGCTCCGTCAGAGAGTGCCGCATTGGCAGCTCTACAGACACCATGTAATGTATGTAATTCTAGATTTGTAGCACACACATTCACAGATCCAAGTCCAGGGGAGTGTGTATTATAAGGCGTGTCATTTCATTGCATATTAAACCCGACAAACAGATGGCTACAAATTCGGACAGGAAACAAATCCTCGATAAAACGCGACTGATCGGGGGACAGTCCTGGATTTAATTTAGGGTTTTTTGGGTTTTTTTTTTTTTCCCCCCCTGTGAGAAAGCTCTGATTTTGCCATTTGGAAAAAGGGAAGGCGGTGATCAGACATCCAACTCTACCTTGAGCAAACAGTGATCTGAGGTGGGGGGGATGCACCAAGTAGAGCTGAGCACATCCCTGGCAAAACCGAGAGAAGCGAACCCCAGAGCAAAGTGCAGCTTTTGGGGTGACCGGGAATTTATTGAGACTTTCGGAATTACGTCTTCCAGTCTTTTAACTTTGCAAAAACAGGTATTTTACAGTGGGAACGGGCTTAAGGGGGGGGGGATATGCAAAACCGCTGGGTCTCTGCGCACCTCCAAGGCAGCAGCCCCATCACACCGTCGGCTTTCCCCTCTTAAAAAAAAAAAAAAAAAAAAAAATCTCGGTCGGTAACAATCAATAAGCTCAGCTTTGGACCGTAACCCAAGGTCTCTCTTTTAGCCATAAAAGGTCGGGCATAGATTTGGTAGTAACAAAAAAACGCAAGAGGGCACAATGCGGTACCGGACTGCGGAGGAAATCGGGATTTAGCCAGGGAGAAAGGAAATACTTCGATTTTCCATTTATCTTCCGAATACGGAGCTTGTGCAGAAAAAGAAAAAGATGCAATATGGGAAAAGCGAAGGTTTGGCTCAAGCGAGCGCAGCTTTCCCGAGCAGGGAATGCTAATCTATGGTATTTAGACAAACACGAGCCGAAATAAGTTGTCAAAACCGATTTTGTCTCCTATAGCAAATCTAAGTTAATCAACCCGGCGGGATTTCCTCCTTGCAAAGTTCACACACACACACAAAAAACTTTTTTTTTTTTTTCTTTAACTGCAGCAAAGGATGATTTGCAAACATGAGGGGTTAAAGTTTTCCGAATGCGAATAATTAACTTTCCCCCCCCACCACCACTTACAGCGGCTGTTTGT